GCAGAGTGTGTAAATAACTTTGATTATTTATGAACATTTATCGATGAAACTCTCATCACGCACCAGTCTGCTCCATACAATGACATTTTAATACAGTTAGATACTGTATTCTGCAGTGACAGAAAACTACATAGCCATTCAGCTATTATTCCCAAGTATGACTCAACATTCAAACGAGCTGCATAAACAATTTTGTAATGCAAACACTCTAGCATAAAAAGTAGGCCTATCCCAGATTGTTTAATGACGACCCTCAGCCTGAACAATTTAGTTCCATAGGTTTGATTGCATAGCATTGAAGAGGACGGTCAAAATATGCTGATATCGACACTCCTTCCTTAATAAATCAAACTCCATTTGCGGTTTTAATCCATAAAACCAGCTAACTTGGGCAAACACCATCACAAAACTGCCTAAGTTTACAACGCATGTAGCACCATCAGTGTTAATAGCCTACCGAACCCGTTAACTGGCTGGCTGTATTTTGTGTGTTTGACAGTGTTGGTTTTCTTTTATACTCATGTTATTTGTACTGGGTTACTGAGTAAAATATCTACTCTGTTATTTGTTTGTCTGCTGTATAAGAGCTGCACACTTAAAGTGGTCAGTTGCAGACCTGTCAGTGAATAGTATTATGGAATACAGTGGGAAAAAGTTACAATTTCATTTCTCTCAATCTCATTCTTTTTTTTTAAACTCTACCTTACAGTACACTTTATATTGAGACAGAGAACAACTGTTGTGTCAGACGATGAGAGTTAAAAATCAAAAAGCTGATATGCCTTGATCAGGAAGGTGTCAGAACAAAATTTCAGTGTCAGAAGCTCCACAGCACAGAGGCGTGTGAGAGAAAGACAAGCAAGCAGCTTAACAGGAGGGCTGCGCATAGACTGATCAGCAGGGGCCACTAGAGAGTAATGAGAGGCCAATCCTACAGGGTCAAGTTCGTGTGGGCAGCTGTTGGCCCAACCACAGCTGACCAGCAGCACCAACCTTAGCGATGAATGGCAGTGATTCTTCGCTAGAACACTACCTGCGTCTCACACAGGTACAGACATGCCTGGCCAAACACATGCAAAAATCAACAGGTCCTTTGTTGCGATGCAACCATCACCAGATCAAAGGATTCTGATGATATCAGCTCATGACCTCTTCCAAGTTAGACGGAGCATCCCCACCCACCTCTATAAACAGGTCGCAGAGAAACCAAGAACCCAGGTCCCATATCAAAACAGAAGAGTCATGACTCTCTCTGTGCACTTCTGCTTTAACTTAATCATGCGTGAGTCACCGAGTGGATGTGCAACATCAGACAGAGCACGCTCAGACTGATTCTCTAAACTCTTGCCAGCGATTCACAGACACAGGCGGAGTCACCATCTCTGAGCATCTGTTCTCCAAACTGCACGTGTTACTGTTACACTTTATTTCAGAGGGAGCTCGAACAATGCAGACCTTGGCATACTGTTAGCGGCTAAGCCGGCCTCGTGTGCGGGGCCTTTGTTTAGTCGGGTGGCATCGGTTAAACACGCACCGATGCTAAGCCAAGCAATCATACCTTTAACAAAGCAGCAGTTCCCTATTCACCTATTCACCCCGTGCCACCCCATTCAGGAGCACAACTGTCAAGTACAAAAGAGTCCAGAGAGGGTGCAAACAAAGGAAGCTGTTTTGGAGTAAAAAACACCTGCCTTTCTCTGCCCTTTCACAGCTGCTGACTCTTTGGGCGGAGTCTGATCCGGGACATTTGCTTGGATTGGTGGAGCTGAATGATGCCCTGAGCTTCGAGAGTGAGGCTACAGCCTCAGACAGATCGCTAAACAAACACATCCTGACGCGAACTAAAGCGCACACACAGGCGAGGGCCAGCGTACCGCTTTGACAGGCAACAAGCCAACTCCTTAAAAAATGTCAGCCTTTTCAAATAGAGGATATTTGTATTGTTCTTGCTGAAGAAATGTGCATTTTTCCCAAAATATATCTCAATTTTAAAAAAGCTAACTGAGCAAATAAGGATGTGATGAATGAGGGCTGGCATAAGTGGGATATCCATCTACAGTAAATGAACATTTTTCAACACAGCATCAGCGCCAAGTACATTAGGGGCTTGTTGGGTTTCAAGAATTCAACATTCTCAGATAAATAGCCCTGGCAACAATATTCTGCTCTTGACGCTGGCTTTTTTGAAAAATTATTATTATTATTATTATTATTATTATTAAATGTGTCCACAATTCATAAAAGTAGGGCAATATTTTTGTTTTGGGGTTTTTTTTTTTTTTTTTTTTTTTTTCTTGCCACAATAAAAGATTGTCATGTGATCAGAAAGACAGTTAGCCTCATCATGGCGAGATGCAGACATGTACTTCCATCAAAAAAGTCAAAACATCCATAAGCACCTCATCTAGATTCAAATCTCGGTTACATAAAGGTCAGGTGCTTTTAGCCGTACGTCCTGCAGTTTCTGGAGAGAGAGAGAGGTAGAGGAAAAGAGAAAAAGAGGGGAAAACCCCAGGACTGCGCAAGCAGCTACTTTAGCTCCTTTAATATGCGGCCAACAAGAGCCTGGCCTGCGTTCCAATACAAACAGCAGCAGCACTGACCGAGCCTCGAGGGCCCGTCCGCCAGCGTAATGACCGGGGATAAAGACAGGAACGCACCGGAGCACCGCTCTCTCTCCCTGTCCCACTGCTGACAGCCACTTCCCCCTTTCTTACACGCGGCACGCTGCCAGGGAGAGAGCATGAGACTAAACAAACAGCATTGTGGGGAGGAGTTCAGGAGGAATCGGAGAGACGAGACACAAGAGCGGACCCAAGGGTCTAGAATCAGAACAGCAGGATGTTTGTACACTTTTCCTCCAAACAACAACAACCACACTTCAGGCTTGTATTTAGATTAGAAGTGTGAAAGTCAATCACTGTGAAACAAGTTATTTTTGGGGGAAAAAATGCCAATGACGAGATAGTTAACTCATTTCAATATAAGCCAATAGAGTAAGAAAATTTCACTTGACAAACAAACAACAATTTACAAACTAGAAACAAGTTAATATATTCTACCGGAGAGGAAAGAAATAAGATTATACATCTCACTTCCAGACAGCCCAGAAGGGGCAAGCAAGTTTGTAACACTAGATTCTTAAATCCAAACAGAAGTTGAGTACAGAGCAGGAATTGACCCAAGAACTACAAGACTGCATGCTGGTATCTGAATCCAACATTGTTGTCCCGTGAATTTACTTGCTCTCTGCTTTGTTTACCCACAACGCACCCTTCATGGTGAGAGGAAATTTACTTAATACTGGAATCCTTATCTGAAGTGCTTCCTCTGTGGACATCCTCACAGATAGCATATATCTCTCTCCCCTACAGGGGGTAATCAATGCAGTGCTCAGGAAGCCACAAGCCTAAAAATGCCTGCAGCCAAGTATTGTAGAGTATACAAAGAGGGGTGAGCCTTAAAGGATTTCTTTGCTGCAAACAGAAGGAATATAATTCACTGCAAGATCCAAGGGAGTGCTGACGGTTAGCATTTCTATCACGAAGTCAATCTATCGGTTGGAAGCTCACAGTGCTTGATTCTACCAAATCGCTGGAAAATAAAGGTAAAACCACTCTAGACTCAGAGATTTTTAAATCAATATTTGAGGAGCCGGCACAGAACCCACTGCGCAACTTCAAAGGCCAGCAATGGAATGAGACCAGAGACCAGGAAGAACAAAGTCTTTAATATGCTGCACAGGAAGTGTGTCGGGAGGGGGAACCCCACGGAATATTAACCCCATAATGTAAGGTCTTTCGGGGGGCAGGGGGTGTCACATGATCCCGGAGGGAAGATTCCACTTAGTAGCTGGCCGAGCCCAGGCCCGTCACGCAAACACTGAGTGTTCACTGAGTTTAACCACATCTCGACGCTGCGCTGATAATGGGCCTTTCATTGCATTTCAAAGCCAGTCTTGTGTTGGGTTTTCCTTCCAGTCTCACCCAATATAAGCCTGTTGGGACACATTAAGTAAGGCCTGCAAGGCTGAGGTAATGCTAAGCAGTGACAGGAATACTGTTTTTCACCATTCAGATCATATTATGTATCAAGGCGAAGAGAAGATAAATGCCATTCTACGCAGCAGAACACAGTGGTTTCCTTTATACTATAGAAATTAAAAATGACCGTATTCCGTTGAAATTTTAACACATAATAAGATCTCGTTTAGAAATGAATAGCCAGGGTAAAGATGTTCAGCATGTTTAGGCCTGGAGTATTCACAAGCTTTTCACTCACAAGCAATGCGTGTGTGTGATGTCTGTGTGTGTGTGTGTGTGTGTGTGTGTGTGTGTGTGTGTGAGCGTGCACGTGTGCGTGTCCATGAGTGTGGCTGCCTGGAGGGGCATGTGTGCCAGTGAGGGTGTTCGTGCGTGTGTAACTGGGTGAGTGTGTGTGTGAGCATGCGCGTGTGGGCTGGGGTGTGAGGGGTGTGTTTGAGTGAGTGCGTGTGTGAGTTTATACGTGTTGGTGAGTGTGGCTGCCTGGAGGGGCATGTTTGTAACAGAAACAGCTACACGCATGCACACACAATTTTCAGGGGCTAAAGGTCAAATATCTCTCATATTAACACCACATAATAACACAACAGTACCTTGGATTCTAAGCAATACCTCGCTTCTGACTTAGAATACCACACTGACTGAAGTGGTTGTCTATAGAGACTGGGGCCTGTGCAGCCATGCAGACCAGACACTCGATCTCAGTGGTGTGAAAACATTCTGTTTCTGCAGAGTCAGCAATAGCAGGAACCTCAAGCTCCAATAATGTACAGAGATTCCTGTTCCCCTTCTAACAGACAGCTCACACACAGGCTCACAGAGCAGACTCTGTTCGGATATTTTCTTTCTGAAATATCCGCCAGGTCTGCGAAACATCAGCAATGCAGCAACACTAATGGCTAAAGTGGTACCAGATGAGGACCTTGATGGTTATACTGGTTCACTGCCTAAGATGACGGCATGGTGGCGCAGTGGTTTAGGCTGTTGCCTCGCAATAAAGAGGTCCCAGGTTCAAGTCCAGTTTGGCCAAGACCACTCTGTGTGGAGTTGGCATGTTCTCTCCAGGTTTGCGAGGGTTTCCTCTGGGTATTCTATTTTACTCCACCCTGAAAAACATGCACTATAGGTTACACTCGGACCCATGCTCCAGACCAAGTCTCTGGCTTTGGAACTTGAGTTGGTCACCGGGTGCTGTACTGTGGCTGCCCACTGCTCCAAAGTAACTAGGATGGGTCAAATACAGAGGTCAATATGCTTCACGAGGTTCAATATGAATACCTTATACCTTTTTTTTTAATACCTAAAACAAAAAAAAAAAAGGGAAGTACTCGCAGCAGAGAAATGGAGGAAACGGAAGAATGCAACGACAAACGCACCCCCAACTACACAACACGTATGCACTGTGTGCAACAAGGCGTGCAGATCAAGGAGTGGACTCCTAAGCCACATCAGGAGCCACAGCAGAAGCAGCACCTCCAGAGGCGCACAGATGGTCTCCTGAGACTGGACTGCCAAAGATACCTACTGACACTAAAGCACATGAGCAAAAAAAAAAAAAAAAAAAACTCATATGTGTACACACCAGCTCAAGCAATATCGCCACAGAAATTTCGCACTTAACTCAACATTGCGGCCACACAAAAAGAGTTATGCTTGAGGTTACGAGGATCATCACAGCATTCAAGGTGTAAAAGAAGATGAGGGGACAGTCAGTACAGAGGCAGCACTGCGTCTCTCTGTTGTCTGTAATTAGAAAGTAGCGGGAAATCATGATGTGTCGTTTCAGGAAACAGAGGGTAAGGTATAGTGAGAAGACAGCATCTGCAAAGCCCAATGCAGGTCCTCTGAAATGCTTATCTCCGTCCTCTGACAGTCGACACTCCAGCTCTCATTTGGCACACCCAGTTCTACCAATTAGCAGCCCGAGAAGAGCTCTAGATGTCCTGGATTATTTTTCCTCATCTCAGCATCTTTAAAACCTCTTTAAATTTGTCTCATTGACTCCCTCCTTATTACTATAGTTTATTTTTTCTTGCATCCCTTCATCTTACATCCTGCCTTCGTTAATCTAGGCTGCTCTGATAGACAGGCTGAGAGCAGATAGGAAGGGCAAACGTGATCAACTCAAGTAATAAAACAGTCTGTAGGTGCTTCATAAAATATCTGATATTGGATACAAAGAAGACCACACCAAAAAAAAAAAAACAATATTTATATACAAGTAATATACATATAAAAAACAAAACACTTTAACAAAATGTAAGGAGCAGCACACCCCAGACACTCCTACATTCTATCACACAGAAAATGCCAGAATTCTGACAGCAACCTTTGACCTATAGCTTTAGCACCGCGCTACCAAAAATGTGGATTGGCTCATACTGATGTTACTGATGCCCAGTGCCCACTGTGATTAATTCCAGAGATGAACTACAGAGGAACCAACAGCACTGCTGGATGCTTATTAGAGGATGAAAAACAAATTATTGCATGACACAGCACTGGCTACGATTTATCTTCCCCGAACAAGAAAACACTATTGATGGTGGTTTTTTAACTGCAAGAGCAAGGCTCAGCATCAAAATACTTTCAAGGGTCTGCCCTGGCCCAAGACCAAGGGTTCTCAAAACAAAAATCATGCCATTTGAAAGCCTACCTTTGTACTCATCTCTCACCATGAAGGTATATTGTGCCGATGGTTAACCCTTAGAGCGCTAAATGCAGCTATTGTTGCTCAATGATGAAAGATATCAACATCAAAGCTGTTGAAAACCTATCACGTGGAAACTTGTTTAAAAGAACTCCCGCAGGGGAGTTCTTTTAAACAAGTTGCCACATGATAGGTTTTCAACAGCACAACATAATTAAATTTATAATTTTTCAAAAAATTGTTTCAGTGCTCTAAGGATTAATACTGCAGTAGCAAACATTGTCAGAGAATAGGCTGTTTGGCTTTGAACTTGTGAGAATGACATCACTAGAAATCACACTTTATCACGAGTTCAGCTGATGGGCTGAGACACAGCAGAAATATAATCTGTCATGAAAATCCAGAGGAGCCCACCCTGCATGCAAGACCCAGGACCTGATTGCGTTTATGTGAATGTTATCCAATCAAGACTGTACTATTCCACTCAGAATTCTGAGTAAATCAATTGAGAGAGACCAATATGAATACTGATTAAAAATTTGTACTTTACTTTTCAAAGAACTGACTGTTCCTAAAAGTCAACATTGAGCATTAATTTTCCCAAAGCATTATTTTTGACAGTGACTGCTATCACATAGCTGTACTATGATGACTGATCATTAAAACTCTGGGTTTCCCTCACTTTTGCTCAAGAAACTAGAAATCAAACAGCTCCAACACAATAAACTCATTGTGAATCAGTGCTGTTCTCATGAAACTTAAGCTGGATTTATGGTTCTGCGTCGACTCCACGCAAAGGGCACGCCGTCGCCTCGACGCCGTCATGGACCTTTCGAAGTTCTGCATTGAGGTTGTTTGCGTCGTGCTGTGCCACGAAGCAATTCACCGCCAAACCGGAAGTGATGTAGTAGAGTGGACCAATCAGTGCCCTTTGCGATCTGCGTCGCTTTGACGTGCAGTTAGAAAATTTTCGAGGTGTACGGCAGGTGACGCAGAGGCTCTGCGGTGGGCGTTCACGTCGCCGCAGAGGCTCTGCGTCGCGATGGCGTCGGTTCAACGCAGAACCATAAATCCAGCTTTAGGGATCAAAAAGAACCATAAGGAGGTTCCATCGACAAAATCAGAACTGAACGTTTCATGGCGAAACTCTGACATGGAGACACAGCTATGAGTGGTTGTATGCTCATCTCAAATTACCTAATGAGGCATGCCAGTCATTTGGACCAGATGCAGTAATGGAAAAAGAAAACAGTGAGGTAATTACATCTGCACGTGCCCAATAAACATCCTGTCGGACAGGCTCCTAACATGAGGAATTAACAAGGTGCCCCGATTCTTTCACTGGTTCAAATCCAATGCATCACATCCCGTCATTTGGCAGATGCTTTTACCCAGAGACACTAAAAAAGTTAAATTACAACAATTTAAAGTGCACTCATTTACAACCGTAGTAATTGAAACCAAAATATTGTAAAGCAGCTTTCAAAGCAGGAAAAACAGCGCTTCGGCGAGCCCGCTGTCTGTAATCCAGACTCCATCTTGCTAATTTGTTTGCCACAGTTAATGGACTGGAGATACACACCCAGCAATAAGCGAAGCAAACTCCATTATTTCTGAGGGATGAGCACAAAAGTGATAGAATCGCTTGCATGTGATGAAGGGACCAGACAAATATAGATAGCATATGAATATCAAACACAGGGTAAGTGTAGCTATTAATGCAATTACACAATTATCGATGGATCTGAATTATGGCAAGGGAGAAATAATTTATTATAAGTTGTTTAATTTGCCAACCATTTTAACTTCCATCAATAGCACTTAAAGCGAAGACCAGAAATGTGTTAAAACATGGGCTCTTTCATCACAGTAAAAACACTGGAAATGCTAAAATGAAAGTGGAACAACACAGAACTCCAGAATTTAAATATGTTTTAAAGGGCTAACGTGGTGAGATCACTGCAATGAGATTGGAGTGAATATTAATATATAGTATGTCGTATATCACCTTACAATGAAAAAAAACACGACTGGTGATTGATTGCAAATAATAATAGAACTTTGAAAAAAAATCTGCAAAGAGATAAATCCATGTGCATTCATCTAAACAGCACTTAACTGGTTCAACAACAAAAAACACCCGCCCACCCCCATCCCCCTCCCAACACACATGAAGACATTGGTCATCTGTAAACATAATCAGTACTGATGCAGTGTAAAAGTGCAGCAATTAAAATTAGCAATTAGTCCACTATACTCCCAATACACCCAGTTGATGAGTTTATTGAAATTCATAGTGAGACAGCTGTGTGATTATAATTGCAGGTCCCATACTGAACAGAACCGTTTAACTCCTGTGCTTTCAAACGTAGGGAGATCTATTATCTGCTGGATGCCTCACATCCTACTGCTCGAGGTCACTTTACTCTCCTCATAGACTCAGTTCTGCAATTCTGAATGTTACATTTTGGATTTTTTTTAACTTATTTGTGGTACATCCTGTTCAAACAGGAACATTTTGGCATTTTTATTATTTCTGCTGGCAGAACTAAAAGACCGGAGGGCACCATCGTACAATGCAAAATCAATGCAGGGTCATGCTTTGTCTTCCCCTCTGGGGGACATGGTTTTCAAAGTTCGACGCAAGATGTGCAGTCTCTATTGGCATTGCCCAGCCCACACCCACCAATCCATGCTCGACAAGCCCATTGAGGGCAAGTTAAAGTTACATATCTAGTTAATGCATGATGAACAATTGGACCCACAATGGCGCAAAATACTGAGCTAACATTCAGTTTGTGACCCCATTGTAGCGGCTCACTCTCACACTTGCCCTTCTCTTTTTGTACAAACCCTTGTCCAGGTACATTACCAGAACAAAAAGGCTGAGGATAAAGTCACTGAAAAAGTCTGAATTTTTATTCTAGCAAAAACACCAAGTGCTCTGTTGTTGACTGCAACAACCAACATAATGTTTAATGTTTTCATTTTCAGCCAGCATTGAAAGATAGTGCTTTAGATTTATCAACAAGATTTATTATCAAGTGTCTGAGTCTGTGGACAAATTGTACTCATTTTCCTCTCACTATCAGATCCTTTGGGAGATTATACATTTTAATATCAGGGGCAAACAATGTATTCTGACAGCTTCTTTGGTTAGAGGCACCATCAACACAATATTGCACTTGTTGCCATTCATTTTGCATACATTTCACAACACTGAATTAATCTTCTGACACCGTAATGACGTCAGTGATTGCTGTCACTTGGTAAGTCAGCCCTGCAATTTGAATGGTATTTTTGAGGGCAAAAATGATGACGGTGACTTGTAAAATGTCAGTTTTAACCCAACACGTCTTGGACTTTGCAATCATGCATT